GAGACGGAGACGGAGACGGGAGACGGAAGCGGCAGACGGTAGACAGGAAACGGGAAACAGGAGACAGAGACCGAGACGGCAGACGGAGACAGCAGACTGCAGACGGGAGACAGCGGACGGAGACGGCAACTGCAGACGGAGACAGCAGGCGGAGGTGGTAGACAGAGACAGAGACGGTAGACAGGAGACAGGAGACGGCAGACGGGAGACGGCAGGCGGAGACGGCAGGCGGAGACGGCAGGCGGAGACGGAAGATGGGAGACGATAGACGGTAGAAGGAGACGGCAGACGACAGACGGAGGGAATTCTGGAGGCGATAGGAGACGGTTTTTAATGCGTAGCTATTCAGGACTCACTCACTATTTAGAACCAGAAGTATCTACTTTTCTTTGGTACAGTGAGTGTTCATGAAAGGTAATAACCCACCACTGGGAGCCTGAAGGGAGATTTGATCTCGCTATGCAGACGTTCGGAGCAGACCTACACAGTACATTGATTGGATACACGGGCGCTCTGCGAAGCGCAATATACAGCCGCACTCTTTGCGTGATGCTCGGCATAGAACTCAGCGAGCTCAGCGACAACCCAGTCGGACTTTAAACGATCAACCCGGAAATATTCAAATGCAAGTTTAAATTAAAATTTCTTCCGGGGTATTTTCAAAGCCAACGCCGTAAACCGGTTGGGGCTTCAGAGGCAAAATGACCTCGCTTTTCCATAAAGCGCGCGGGTGAAGGATCTCATAATTCAATGAAGTTTGACGGAAGTTTGCGATTGAATCATATCCATCCAATAGGGAGGAGAGCCCGCTATGTCGGCGCTATAATCTACCGCCATGCCGGAAACACGACTGCGGCCGATATGGCGGTCGCTGTCTCACCTGACATCGAGCGGGGCCGTCGCGGCAGCGTATAGTAACAGCAGAGTTCCCGAGTGAACAGCGGGCTCCCACAGCAGAGCTCCCGAGTGAACAGCGGGCTCCCACAGCAGAGCTCCCAAGTGAACAGCGGGCTCCCACAGCAGAGCTCTAGAGTGAACAGCGGGCTCCCACAGCAGAGCTACCGAGTGAACAGCAGTCAGCAGGCTCCCACGGCAGAGCTACCGAGTGAACAGCGGGCTCCCACGGCAGAGCTACCGAGTCAACAGCGGGCTCCCACAGCAGAGCTACCGAGTGACAGAGCCGAGCTGGCGGAACGAATAAATAACTCACTATGAAATTATTTGCTTTGTTGAAGTTAACGACTTAGGTCTCGTAAATCCTCACAAGTCACACACATACACGCAAGCACAGTCACAGCCTCACACACAGAGACGCACAAAGGCCACAGGCGTCACCCGGGGGCCGTCCGAGCTGTGGGCGCCACTTACCGATAAGGGCCCCGTTCGACTGGGCGCTGCGGCGCGGAGATCGATCACCGCCGTCTGTTCTCTGGGGATTGTGCGGCGTCAGACGCTGCTCGTGCCGCTCTCCAGAGAGATCAGCCGGCCACCGGAGCCGGCCCGGCCGAACACCGCGCGCTGGTAAATAAGGAAACGAGCTGCAGTCGACGGCTGGAGGCCGCGCCGGCTTAGCTCCGCCTGCCCCGTATCGAGTTTGGTCTCGGAGCACCAGGTCGGCTTACCATTTGTCAGGTCCAATCAGGCCTCTGCGGAGAGCGGCTGCGCCCTCACCTGGCGTTCGGCCGCTCTCCCGGGAGTGCAGGGGGAGGGGCTCCTCGACCCCCCCCCCTGGTCCGGAACCACCGCTGGGCCGCCGGGACTGTCGATTTATCGGCCTTAGCGACGACGAATGGCCAGAGCCGGCGCCAAAACGGAGCGATTCCTCGATAACGCGCCGCGCTCCTCCATCGCGGGAGGCGACTTCACAAACACTCCGGAGATTAACAACTTTGGCTGTTTTGATTTATGCATGGTGACTTATTGAATTCCGCCGCGGGTCTCAAGTGGTCGAGGATAACAAAATCAAAGGATGCGCCAGAAATTCGATGAATAATATATGACGGAACGCCACTTTCGGTCAAATAAAATTTCCGTCGAAGCTCTTTGTAGTCTGAATGAGTACAAAGACATGTGACATTTTCTAGCCAAATAACTCCTCACTTCATAAGTTATAGCTAACTATAAACAATGCAAGTCAATCTGAGCAGAATTTGGTTTGCCTAATCACTCCTTGCATGAATCGCAGGACGCCGTTCAAAATTGACTCAAAACTGACAGAACTGTTCAAGTCTGTATCGTATATGAATTGATTGCATTGCATTATCGACGGCTGTCATACATTTGACCATTCGGCATTAATTATCTGCCGATGCTGTAGAATATCTCTCAATCTAAGACGTCATCAATCCTGGTCTCGATGAAGCGCTCTATCTGACCGGCTGAGCTGCGCCGTTCAAATCCCAGTAATCCGGCGGGCGTGGTGAGCGACACTCAGCGCCGACACTCGAACTGTGAGACTGCCGGGCTTCACTGCTCTTCCGCAAGAACTCCTTAACGAGCGTCAGAATTGTCACTTTTCCTTTTTCCTTTACTTGCCTGCAATAAAATATGCTTTAAAAGGCATATTAAAATTCATTTTAACTCTTTGACTAGACGATATATTACGCCATCGCATTCTCGGCAAACTGCATTGCATGGCATGGCAAACTGCAGGATTTGCAGCTTGGCGGGGATTAACGTCTCGCTGGCCAGATTTCTCACCACCGGGGTATGTGACGGCGGCACTCCGCGCTGATCAGGTGATTAACAGGACCTGTATGCCGCGCTGCTCCGCCGCCGGAGGGAATATGGCCTCTCTAATCTACCGTTAATTAAATGCCGTCCGCTCTGCTGGCACGCAGAGGCTGCCTATATCCATTGTGAGCTGCGACACCGCGCTACATCAATGCTATTGGGCCAAATCATGTTGTTGCCGCTAGTATTGTAAGCTATGGATGCGGGCTTATCTCCAAGACAGTAGCGGCGGAACACCTTCAAGTAGGGGGGGGGGGGGGGGCACTGCCGACTTTTTGTCCCATTCTTTCTGTGCAACGCCCATAGGGCTAATGTTAAAATGCCAAAATTAAAGGGCGGCATGGTGCCCCGGTGCCCTCCCCGTTCCGCCACCTATGCTCCAAGAGACTGAATTATACAATGATAATATTTTTTTTTTTGCTATTTAAACAACACTCCATTATGACCGTTCCAAAGGTTTGCTGTTTGCTACTTCATTACTTTTGGCATAAGATAATAACTGATATCACATTAGCTTCATGAGGTTCATAACTCTCTCACTTCTTATGCTGGTAGCGCTATATAAATTTGGCAAATCCCACAGGCCACTATTGCAGCAGCGCATACGGTACCGGTGCCGAATTACTGGCTCGGAATGGGGTGAATATTGCCAACTGGGAGTATTCGGTCGCTGAACCGAGGCCCAGCCAGCTCGCCTCGTGAATACAGAGAGGCCGTAGGTGTCAGTTGCAGGCCGACTGGTCGACATACGGTGGCGGAACGACCGTGCTGCTGTTTCTGCCGCCGCCGCTGCTTCTGCTGTACACGTTCAGTGGATTCCATGATAGGGTCTCAGTTCTTGGCTGCACGGCTCCAGACCATCCGTTTTTTATGACAGGCCATCCTTTTGGGTGGCCGTGCTGATTACATGACAGCAAAATGCACGGCTGCTGTCAGCTTTAAACAAGCATTGCTACTTTCTACACGTCCTTGTACTTTGCTTGACCGCTAAATTGACCACAATAATATGAAATTTTAATTTCTATTAACCCGCGCACCGACGGGGGTCTGCGCCAACTTCGCACCGACGGGGGGGGGGGGGGCGGATGACCGCCCCCCCCTGAGATCTCGAAAACGAAGCAAGATAACGACAAGCGGTAAACGGCATCGGATACGCACGGCCAAGATCTACAATTTTTACAAAGGTCATTTTCAGGTCAGGTCAAAGATGACGTCACAGGGGTCGAAAAAGTCAAAATGGCGGCGCTAGATATGGAGAGAGTTTTTCTCGAATAACTTTCGAATTAGTGAAGATAGGAACAAACTAAGGGCATCATCGTGATCCTCTCGTCAATCCGCATCGAGTGATATATATGTTGACCTCGAAAGGTCAAGGTCAAAGGTTGACCTCAGGTCACGTGACCTCGAGGTCATCATGTATATCATTCGATGCGTCTTGACGAGCTAAACACAATGAGACCATCCACGCGTCTGTATCTTGTTCCTGTACGGAGTTATTGGCCAAAAACCTTTGGTGACCTTTGATGACGTCACATGACCTCACAGCTGCCCAACAGCAAAACAGACCTCAAGGTAGTGAAGGTTGATCGTATATGAAGTCATGTATGGTACATGGGGCCATTCCGACCCGTTTTAGTGGTAAAAACAGGGAGTTGATTTTTCCCCCATTGACTTATAATGGGGAGGTCGCGAAATTGACCTGACCTTAGGTCACCGATATCAAAATTCCGAGATATACAAATTGTAGCTACTAATGACCTAATAATATCCTGCGACTTTCAAATGCCTCCGACATCTACTGTAGCTCTGGCACGGTGACAAAGTTGCAAAAAAGTGACTTGAGGTTGGGTCATTCAAAGTGACCTGGTGACCTGACCTTAAAAGGTAGGAGGTTCAAACTTGCACATCATGTGTAAAATTGATGAGGTTATAGTCATACCAAATTTCGCGGCGCTACGCGCCGCGGTTTTCCCGCTATTCGCGAAAAATCTCAGGGGGGGGGGCGGATATCCGCCCCCCCGTCGGTGCGCGGGTTAAATTACAGTCAACTGATTTCGTGACATATGAGCTGCTTTATGGCTCTAGCAGACCTCTGGACAAAGTATCATTTGTAATTTGGTGCCTTATTGCGAATCGCTTGAACCATTTTGTGTGCAAATGCTTTACGAAAATATTGCAATGATTTATTTGTGAAATAAAAATAGCAGTCATGCTGTGAACTGCAGCTGATGCCAACTTTAATAAGACTAAGTCCTTTGCGTCTGAGACGTCGATTGAAGGCCCGTCTCTAAAAACACACCGGCGCACTTCTCTCAATTACTCGAATGGGCCTCTTTCCAACCTCAGTTGTTTTCGGTGTCGATCGATGAAAACAGCCATTTGTTAAAATGTATTTTATGACCAACGTCAACAAACAACACATATTACTTGTGCGGAACCACCTACCGTTCGCAGACCAGCGGCTACCTGATCACCGCTCCATCGCTAGTCTCTCCAGGAAAACTAGGGGCGACGTCTTTGTACAGTAACATCACTGGGTCAGCAAGGAACAGCGCTCGCGCAGAAACACACACGCATGTACGTACCAACCTCAACGCAGTCAGATTCTCCCTACCACATCACTCGACACAGGTGGCGCAGACGCTCTGTTTTCCTGCCGAGTGCCTACTGAAATCACTGCGCACGAACCAGTCGGCGCACCGTCCCTCTCAGACTTCGAGCTCCGGGCCTGTGCCGCGTCCCTCTCTACGCTCGAGCCCCCGGCCCCGGCGGCTCGCCCGGCGGAGGTGGGCACCAGTTCGTCCGTGGACTGGCTGAGACAGCCGACGTCGGCCGTCTCGAGCAGCGGCTCGGGCCCCTCGGCGCGCTGCTCACTGGCGTGTACGGCCGCCGCGTGGTTCAGCAGAGCCATGTCGGAGGTGTTGGAGACGCTGGGCAGCACGCCGCCGCCGCCGCCGCGTGCCAGCTGCTGCAGCGTCAGGTGCCTCCTGTGGCGGCGCCAGTGGTGCAGCTTGCGCACCCACACGCCCAGACAGGTGAGCACGATGAGCGTGGCCGGCACCGCCATGGCGATGACGGTCGTATAGTTTCTGCGCCGGCCGCGCATGTGCAGGAACCCGGCGCGCCTGGTGGTCACCGTCAGTGCCTTCAGCGGGATGACGAACTCGGCGCGTTGCAGCGCCACTGAGAAGGTGTACTCGGTACCGGGCGCCAGCTGACTGAAGGTGAAGCTCTGCGCCTGCAGGCCCAGGCTGTGCGCGCTGAAGTGGGTGGTGTTGGTGTCGGTGGCGCGGCGCTGACCGAGCAGCACGGCAGCGCCGCCAGTCACGCTCCAGGACACGGTGACAAAGGTGGAGGTCACGGAGACGGGCTCGAGGACGACCCGCGGACTGCGCACGGCGACTTCCACAGAGCGGTGAGACCGGCCCAGGGTGTTGGACGCGGCGCACGTGTAGCGGCCGCTGTCGTTGGTGTGGAGGTAGCGGACGGTGAGCCGGCCCCTCTCGTGACACACGCGGCCGGTGCACTGGCCCTCGGACAGGCGGCCGCCCGCGGGCAGCGTCCACAGCAGGCTGGCCGCCGGCACGCCGCCGCCCGCGCACAGGAAGCTGGCCGACTCGCCCAGCCGCTCTGTCCGGTTCTCAGCGAACAGAGGCAGCACGTGCGGGGCACAGCGCGGTGGGAGCGCGCTCAGGCCGGCCGGGGCGCAGACGTCTCCCACCGCCGCCGTGAGCTGCCTCTGGCCTCCGACCAGCCAGCGCAGCGTGCAGTCGCAGCGCAGGGGGTTCCGGCGCAGGTCCAGCCGCTGCACGGAGTCGGGCACGGCGGCCGGGTGCAGCGTCAGCAGACCGTTCCCGGAGAGATCCAGGTGGCGCAGTCGGGGCACTCGCCGGGCCATCTCCGGCTGGACAAAGTCGAGCCGCGGGTTGTCGGAGAGCGTCAGTCGCTCCAGCAGCGGACAGTCGTCCACCGCGTGACGCGCCACGCGCCGCAGCGGGGCCGCCCGGCTGAACTGCACCTGACGCGCGCTCACCTTGTGTAGAGCGCGGGTACCGAGCCGCTCCACCGGGTTACCGCTCAATTCCAGCACCCCGGCAAATTTCACCGCCTTCAGCGCCTCAGTCGGCAGATTACGGAACATATTATCGGATAGATCCAGTGTCTGCACGTGCAGTCCACGTAGTGCAGCCACATGCAGCCGACTCAGCCGGTTGGAGGACAGGTCCAGGCGGGAGAAGTTACGGGCGCCGGCGAACGCGCCGCCCGCCACCCTCAGCAGCAGGTTGTGCGAGAGATCGACTGACTGCAGCTCGGTGAGGTCGATCAGCGCATACCTGGTGAGCGCCGTGAGTAGGTTGTGCGACAGATCGAGCTCGGTGAGCCGCGGCAGCACCAGGCCGGCGTCGGCCACGCTGCCGATCCGGTTCCGCGACAAGTCCAGCTGGCGCAGCGCCGTGAAACTACGGAACGTGTTGGCCGAGACGGCGGAGAGCAGGTTCCCGCTGAGGTCGAGCCGCTGCAGACTGGGCAGGCCGGCGCCGCTGCCGCTGATGGCTCTCAGGCCGGACCCGCTGCAGTTGAGCAGCTCCAGCCGCTGCAGCAGGCCGAGCCGGCCAAAGTCGAGCCGCGCCAGCCGGTTGTGCTGCAGCAGCAGCTCGGTGGTGTTCTGGGACAGACCGGACGGAGGGGAGGTGAGATTCCGAGCGGCGCAGTCGGCCACCGAGCCGCTGTACGGACAGACACCGCCCGGCCGGCCCACCCCGGAGACCAGAGATAGAGTCAGAGCAGGCAGCAGCACCGGCAGCAGCGCCGGCGTCTGCGGAACGGACGGCAACATCTCGAGCGTTCCTATATCACAGCACGACACCTGTGCCGGCACGGTAACACTGCTCTGTTCCTCTCTTCCTCTCCTCCTCTCCTCCTCAACCTCTCCTCCTCGACCTCTCCCCTTCTCCTTCTCGACTGGGTGTTTCTCCGATGTCGTAAAGAACTGCTCGTCCTGTTGAAGTTCAACTGTTCTTTCTAGGCGATATAGGTGCTGCTCTCTCTACCAACCAAAATCTTTCATCGCGACGAACCATTAACTACTGCTGTCGCGGTATAACTGCTCCTCTCGTAGCGGCACAACTGCTCCTCTCGTCGCTCCTCCAGCGGCGGTGGAGCGCCCTCGGCTCGTCACGGTCAATCACCGCCTCCGGCCGGCCCTGCGGACACAAACAAGAGTCGATAGAGAGCCGGTAATGAAGCGGAAAGCCGTGGCCGCGCCGCTAACTCGCCGGGACGCCCACCGCCGTCCGTAGGCGCATACAACGTCCAATGCGCCGGATAGGGGGATTCGGCAGCACATTGCACTGGTCACACTGATGATCTACATATGTGGAAACATGTCAATAACTTGGTTTGTCAAAGGGTGCAGGCACTAAAATTGCACAACCATGGCAAAATGAAGTGTATTCTTGATCGAAGGTATCATGGATGTCATACAAGGATCAGGGATCGCATGGTATTATTGCTTCCAAATTAAGCTTGATCCTCACTTCGCTCCAGTGCTGTAGTGAATACCCTACCGAAGCCCGAGTTTTACCGAGATACCCGGCTCTGCGAGCCGTGCACGGTAGGCCAGAGGTTTAACATCCGGGGCCTTGTGACATCCGGGAGTTTCAAACGCGCGGGTAGGGGTGCGGACGTGACCTGTGGTCGGTCAGCGATCGGCGATTTTGGCCTCGGGCGCCTCTGGCGTCAGAGGCATTACCCGGGGCTCGGGCGCAGCGCCCGGCGAGAGACGGGCCGCGCGGCCGCAACCGTGGTGCAGCTGGACGCGCGATCGGAACGGAGTTCAGCCAGGACACGCATCGTAGGTCAAAGGTCAAGGGCACATGTGGCCGGCGGGCGAGACCAGCGGTCGAAACAGAAGTCGCTGTGAGGCGAGGGCAGTGATCCGACCCCGGCCCGGGCCTGGACGGTGTCTGATAATGTTTTTTTTTTTTGCTCTGCTGCGGGGTGCTTTGACTGCGCTAGTTTTAATATTGCGTTTAATAATCATAACCACAGTTTTATTTAAAACAATAATGCCAATATAATCGTAACATATATTATGAATATTTATCAGATAATTATTCACCCGCGCCAGGCAGGTGCTCGGCGTCAACCACGTCGCACCCCCCACCCCCACCCCCACACTAACTCGGCTCCTGGGCCACGTGTGCGACACGTGGTAAGCGGCATTCGAAAGAGCTCGAAAATTTGAGAAAAAAAAAACTATTGTCTGCATGCTTCGTGCAATTAAAAAAAAAAATGTCGGGGAAGGCACTCTCCTCTGCCAGCGACGGCTCAGACATAAATTGATTCCTCGTTTCAAAAAAATGTGAAAAGTCTAATCGTGTCCGTGTAGCACTCAAGTAACCAAGCGTGCCCAATATTTTCTAGCCCGCAACAAGCCCAACCATCGCTTCCCACCCGGTCATCTGCCTGACCACTGCACTGCGGCGCTCTCATCGTCCCTGATTGGATAGAATGTGACCCAGCTATGCGTCACGCTCACGTGCCCGCCATTATCACAGGTCACACCCGTGTCCCCGCCCCAGGCGCGGACTGACGCAAGTGACAGTGACAAGGTCGACGCACTGCTTCAGTCTGACACGCACCTCACCGGGACAGCTACCCTGGCGATACGGGAGGGGCTCGGGAGGGTATTCAATGCAGTACTAGAGCCAGACGCGAATCAAGCTTAATTTGGAAGCAATAGTACGCTTGCCCGTGTAATTGTGTGTCAACATATGACTTTTATATCTTTATTACTTTATTTTATGTTAGTCAAACATAGTCCGCTGTTAATTATGCGTCGGCTGGTCTGATTGGTCAGCGGTGCCTCTCCGCTGACTCTCATCATTACCATCGGCCGACGCTCCGGTAATCTAATCCCGGGACGAGGCACGCAGCCACGCAGCGTCGATGAGGGCGGAAGCTCCTCAGACCAACGATAATCCCCTTATCGAGGGTCGGCAGAGATGCGGCTGACACGAAAATAAATGTGTTAGATGCTGATTTACGTTACAAAGAATCGCAAAAAGTGAAACTTGTCACCTCTTTTGTAAACAACATGCGTAGAAAGTTGATTATACGAACAGAGCAGATGTTGCTGCATTCTCTCAGCTTTGTTCAGTCTTCTCTTATTTCTTTTATTTTACTCGTTGACCAAATTAAGCATACGTATGTTTTGCTCGTTTGATTTAATTTACAGCGATGGATTTATCACATCCAGTGGCGCCAATGCTCTGCGGTCTGAACTAAATGGAAACGCTCATCGAGAGCTCATTGGATCTAGGCAGCACCGGCTCGTGTCATTCGCCGGCAAATTTAGATAAGCGGAAAGTCTGGTCGGCGCTCGTCACAGGCGGAGCCTATCGAGTGGTTTGATCGTCGCTGACAGATCGGCGTTCAGCAACATTCGCTGATATCAGCCAGCCACCGGGCTGCGGTAGCGGCGCGATGTGAAACGGAGGCGTTTCAATTTGATCAGAACATTAGATTACCGAGCGACACGCCGCTGCAGGCTGTATGGAAAGGCGGTGTTGTGGCTGACAGAATGGAACGCATCAGGTGCAGAAACGGGCCGAATTAGGCATCAGGTGCAGAAACGAGCCGAATCAGGCACATCAGAGATATCATTTTGATTGAACCGTTACCGATGTCGATGACAACAATAATTTATTCTACAGTCGGCCATGCTGAAATTCTTTATCATCATTTCATTTGCCGCTGTTTTCCAATTTCCATTACTCAAAAATGTTTGCTGGAAGTTTTTAGGAACTGGTGTGCAATATATAAGTGTTTAATAGGTTTAACAAAGTTATAAGTGTCATAAGCGTTTTTAGGTTTTATGGAGGCAATTTATTGACATATTTCAGCATCATTCACGAATCGAAATTTGAAAAGTTTGAGTGGCGGGCTACCTTTCCCGGTTTATGACTCCAAGAGTTGCGTAGTAAAATATCACTTTGCAATGGATCCATTTATGAGAACACTTTGAAGGTCAGCCCAAATATAAAATGGACTCGCACGCCATATATCAGAAAGGTTTGAACATGGATAACATGAATCATGTTATCTATGGTTTGAATTATGTTTACGAACAACTTCAAAATTTCATGTTTACCCATAGTTACGCCACTTTGTATCTTCTTTTTGAATAATTGGAATATTTCGGCAGTTATTTGCGACGATTCTTCTAAAGATATCTTTTAGGTATTTGTCTCTACTACCTGACAGAGTTCCCAGCCCTGACTGACGGAACTTCGCCCCTCATTTAGACCCAGCCCCACACCTGACAGAGCTCCCGCCCCGGAGGTGCCAGGCGCTGCCCCAGCTGTAAACACGCCTCTACATCGCAGTGGCTGCAGGCGTTTAATCTCGCGCCCATTATAATTAGTTGGCTGGATTGGGAGCGTTTGGAGCGTGGCTGCGCTACACGGGTATGATACCCAGCTGCTCGAATCGGCCTCGTTATGCATAAATACATATACGGCTGTGGTAATCGGCCATAATGCTTCGCTACACGGCTGTGCCGCACGGCTGTGCTATACCGCTGCACTGCGCGGCCAGCCGCCCGTTCCCGACCGGCAGCCTCCCCGATACGGCCGCCTCTCCCTGTCTGCTCCGGTAATATCCCCCGAGACCGGGCTCCCATCGCGGCGGACACCGGCACTCCGTTACCTGCAAATGAGCTCACCGCTGTGTATCCCGTCTAATTTTATCAAACAGCCTGGCCAACGAGCCGTTACCGAAGCCCATAGCCAGGTAATGGAGAGCTAACGCTATTCCTTCCGGCTTCCCCGTCTGAACAGCCTAAATTTGTCATGAGATAAGGAGCATGTAATTTAATGTGTGCCGCACTGTCGCATCCGTGAAACTTAACACAGTTTCATGAATATATTTATCAAATGTCCCTTCGGAGGCGTCATTGCACCATTCATTTTTTTTTATTTAAAAAAAAACATTAAACCGCTTAAATAGTCAAGCATCTCAGTCACTAGCATAGAGTGAAATAGAGTAGCTCCGTCATTCCGTGTTAATATTCTATGACAATGGATATGCCTACATTCTGATGACCTGTCAACATCAGCATGAGGCTGCCTCCCTTGAAACAGTAGCAGGTAAATGCGTATTACAGCCGGACCATATACTGATCGTCGACTGCCTGTCTGATTGTACTCTGATGCTGTCAGTTTTATAGTCTGCCAGCCGCGGAGCCGGCGGCCGCCTGTTACCGGCCGTGCTGTCTGTCGCTGTTAACGCTCTGTCTGCCAGTGTATCGGCCGTCATCGCTCATTAGCATCTCCGCCGTGGTGCCGCGTCTCTGTACGTGACCGAAGTCGGCGGACGGCGCTATTGTATTCTTGTCTTGGGAAATGCCTCTGTGGAGCACAGAGCCTCATACGTCTATCTTATTTTCGTCTGCATGTCTGTAATGTCTTCGTCGTGGGAAATTTATCTGTCATGAACCCGTCTCTCTGCAATAATCCCTTGTCTCTGTCATACCTCTGTTACGTCTTTGTCGTATTTCTTTCATGTCTCTGCCATCTCTGACGTGTCTCTGTCATGAGCAGTGTCTCTGTCATAATGTCGTAGCTCTTTCATAACATCGTCTCTTTGCCGTTTCTCTGTCGTTTCTCTGTCGTCTCCTGTCGTCTCTCTGACGTGCATCTGCTGTGAACAGTGTCTCTGTCGTGGGCAGTGTCTCAGCTATTAGCAGTGTCTCTGTCGTGGGCAGTGTCTCAGCTATTAGCAGTGTCTCTGTCGTGGGCAGTGTCTCAGCTTTTAGCAGTGTCTCTGTCGTGGACAGTGTCTCTCCGTCCGCGCCGGTGCTCAGTATTGACCGCTGCTGCCGCCCACCGGGGGCAGATGATATCGTAACTGTCGACACGGCCGCGGGACCGCCTCCATCTCTGTCACGATAAGACAGAGCCAATGGATGCCGACCCGACCGACTCTCTGTCGGCCCGCCCTCCCGTATATAACTACAGTCAGCCGCGCAGGACCCGAGACCCGCTGAGAGACCACAGCCTGTTAGTACCGAAAACCTCACCACCACGAACAGCCAATCAGTGCCGAAACTGGGCATCGAACCTCCCTATTAGCGGCAAATGGCCAGACTGGAAACCCCTATCAGACGGTTACACCAGACGTTTGGGAAGCTCAACGGTATTGAAAGGTCATGTTCCTGATCCAGTGTCAGATCCAGAAATACAGCCATTCAAAATCGTTTGATCAATAAAAATAATGAACAAGTCACATGCTAACATTTGTCACTACGGTTCAGAGACTGCGATATTTGGCAGTCGTTGCATATGTATGTAAGGGTTAGCGTCACAGGACTAAGGAGACCGTTATGGCGTTATCTATAGGCGCCCATGTCAATAAGGCATATATGTAACCATGAAAGATCACACCGGCGTGAGCCATTTAAATAGTGAATAGTCCGTTCCAGACCATTGTTCCTTATGAACTTATGCTCGCTGCACATTGTAATCCTAGTTTACTAAAGTATTATTTTGGTGCATTCACCTTGATCGATCAGCAAACAGTACATAAAATGAAACACATGTTCACGACTGACTTAACACACATTACCTGTTCTTCACCTCGGCGGTTGGAAGATATCAGCAGTCCTCCGACGACCGGCCGAGGCGCCACGCGGTCTATCCTGCAGCTTTAGTCGCACCGCCACTGGAAACCTCAGTCCCAGCACGCATCCCGCCTGTCTCTGTCCTCTCACGGTCTCGTCTGCCCCTGGGCGGTGCTCCGTCTCTCGGAGTTGTCCGTGCTCTCCGGCGCGGCAGCGTTCGGACTGCTCCAGGCGGCGGCCCTGACCCCGTGCACAGGCAGCAGCGCTCTCCGACGCGCCGGACGGGCTCTGCGCGGCCGGCCGGCGGCGGTTCCGGCCGGCGAGTGAGGCCGCTTCCTGCGCGCCGGCCGACGGCACCGGTCCGACTCAGTCTCACCCCTGCCGGAGACACAGGGGGTGCCGGTCCGACTGTCTCACCGCTGCGGGAGGGACGGGGGTGTCACTACAGACACAGGGGGTGCCGGTACGGACTGTCTCGCCCCTCCTACAGACACAGATGGGTGCGACTACGAGCACAGGGACCCAGTCCACAGCCTATTCCCAGACTCAGGGGAGGGTAACGGTACCTACAGTCTGCTCTTACTCTTCCACAAACACACAAGGTACGGTGTACGGACCAAATACGCTACAATTGTCTGACACCTTACCCAGTCATTAGGGCATTGCCTTGTCGATGTCGAATAAGAAATGCGCCCATAACTTATTGTGCACTTCTATGCAAATTATCTCAAGCGTTTTACAGCGGCTGCATCAAATACATTTGAATACGGAAATTTGTTTGCTGAAGGAAACTTTTCAATGCAGCAGCTTCGTCTGCAAAATGGCTTTGTTCGGTGACAAAGGCGATGAATAAACGCCATCGCCCACCCGAGAGCATCAACATTCAGCATTCTCCGAATCTAATTCAGTATTCGCTGGATCCAATTCACGGAACGTTTTTGCCAGATATCAGCTTGTTGGGCCGAGGCTTTGATCCGGTAAGTCTTCATTGGCAAGTCAATTTCGGAACGACAGCTATGCCTGGCACGTTTCCACCCAATCGAATGAGAAAGCCCAGCCGACGCGTGACAGTGTCGCCGCTGAACGGTTAGATACGTTCGCTGGCCGCCGCTGAGTGGTTAGATGCACCCGCTGTCAGATATATCAGCACACGCCGACTGGAACGTTTAATGGAGGGAGGACACAACAGGACACAACATTAGGCTGCGACACAATCGCACACGACGACTGGACAGGCTGAAACACAGCAGGCTGAAAGACAGGAATATCGGGACACAGCGGACTGGTGGCTGGAAGGAAAGGGCAACTGACGCAAGCAGGTAAAATTATTGCCATTCGCATTGCTAAAATGAATGAGATATAGCATGCGGTGTCTGTAATCCATGCCTCACGAAGGGAATTTTTCGTATAATTATATCGGCAACTCAAACAACGAAAGCTTGAATCTTCCCTCTTGTGCTAAGATAAGTCAATAAGCCTAAGTAAGAAGGCGTTTGAGGTTAATCGTTTGGGTATCGGTGTTTGGGTATCGACCATTAATTGTGTCGGACTGCTTACACAAATATGACACGCAAGAACAGACAGCCGAGAGCAGAATATAATGGTCTATTCAACCCACTGAACCGCCACCCAGCCCATTGGCGCCTATCCAGCGGATATTTGGTCTCAGAGAATCAAATGCCGGCGATTCCATTCAGTCGTCTGGTGTGAGCTGCATTTCGATGAGCCTCTCGCCACCGAAGCCGCTTTTCCTGCCGCCTGAAAGAGTGCAGCTGTCGGCGACTGCGACCACCGCTTCTATCTCGGCCAGGCTATGGGCCGTCTCTCCGGTCAAATCTGCGGGCCGTGCATAATCCAGCACTCCCCTGGGAGGAACGGCAGCCGACCGGGCCCTCAGATGACACAAGATGACGTCCTCTGATGATGTCATCATGGCCGATTATGAATCCATCACGCCGATCATCTGGACATTACCATAAATTACTCGGGACGCCGAGCGGGGCTAATTTGGAGCCGATAGCCCGTGCCAAATCGATTTGGCGATCCCATCAGGGCAAATATTGTCGCTATGGACGGCTATTTTTGGATTTTTGGCATGCATGCAAGACATGAATGAAGGACGAACGAGAGAGAGAGAGAGAGAGAGAGAGAGAGAGAGAGAGAGAGAGAGAGAGAGAGAGAGAGAGAGAGAGAGAGAGAGAGAGAGAGAGAGAGAGAGAGAGAGAGAGAGGAAAAGAGAAAGATGTAGAGATGCAGTGTCTTACTGTACTGTACTAGCAGTATCCACTGTATCTTACTCTCTCGCATTCAAAATAACCACTCAACTTCTTTTTTTCATTCCCTTGCAGATGGTTTAGAACATTTTGTTTCCCTTGCACACAACTTATAACTCTCCTGAGATCCCCAAAAAGTGACATATGTACTAAATGTCTCACCACAAACGCAGCTGGTGCCCGGAGCGACGAATTAAGTGGCCGCAGCTTGATTCCATAAGGCCGACAATCTACTGCAGGCCGCCTGCGGCTGTGACAATGAGCCGTTTGTCGGTTCTATTGGCCGCTCAGATATCTCTGTGCCGGCCGTCGGCGCGCCTCTGTTCTCTAATACACGCGGAATGGACGCGCGGGCGGCGGTGCGGACGCAGATATTCCGCGCGTCGCGGCCGATACTGGCCCTCTATGCGGAACAGAGCGCCATCAGGGCCAAATTGGCCCGTCGGCGCGGCTCATAAATCATACCGCATTAGACGGACCGGCCGGCGACTAGATTGAATCGCCGCCGCGGCCGGTGAACAGGTCCCCCGGCCGTGTAGGTAGTAGACGCTCTTTGGGTATTGGAGATGGCTAGGGAAGGAGAGAGGGAGGAACGTGGAGAGAGGGGACACTGAGAGGGGTGAGAGCAACATCAATCAGCCGACGAACTGTTGGGGATGAACTAAAAAGATACCAGAGGCAACAGATGGCACTCACTTAGGCCATGCGTAGGCCATATTCACATACGTTTTCAATTTGTATTATGAAATGAACGAATAGCGCTTAGGAACAGTGAACACCATCCACCCTGCGTCAATCGTCAATCGTCTCCGCCGCGCCGGTGCAGTTATATATTTCCTTATCGTCGAACATCAGTGGGATTGTCTGTTGGAGAACGCTCTCCTCCCTTCTCCTTCTCCGATAATGGCGGGTCGCGGCGACAGATCGAGTCTCACATCAGGTATATCGACTCCCGCAATGGATGTCGTCTGCCCGCTCGGCGACACTCCCCCCCCCCCCGGTCTGCACTTTATAGACGTAATACATTAGACCGGGGACCCAATCGATGAAAAGATTAATGTCTGCGGCAGCGGTCTGGCGCGGTGACCGCTGGGCGCCGTGGCGGCGGTCGCGGCCGGTTTCTCTCCCCGTGCCGAGCCATTTCGGTGCTCTCCGCCGCCTCTCGACCGGCGCGGAGATGGCCCTCCGGTGTCACTGCGGTGTCGTCTCTAACGACCGCCGCCGGAGTCAGGTATACCTGTGGAGCGTGCTGCCGACCGCCGCCGACCACTCAGAAATCCCACCCAGTGCCGCGCGGACCGGTCACGTCCCCCACCACGGCCCACGCGGCAGACGGAGAATGGAGGGCCGATACGGGTCGGCGGAGGACCCAGAGGAAGGATAATGGGGGATGATCAGGGTCGGCAACCATCCCAGAGGACCGATAATGGGGAATGGTCAGCGGGGAGAGCCGGTCTTTGGAGCTGAATCGATGACATTTGCGACGCGTTGCGGCAGGCTCGAGAAAAAAAAAACAAGTAATGCGGCACAGCATACGTTCCAGGCGCGACATGTGCTGCCATCTGTTGAGCGGAGTTGACGGACATGTAATGCGGTACAGCATACGTTCCAGGCGTAGCGTGTGCTGCCATCTATTGAGCGGAGCTGAAGGCTATGTATTGCGGTACAGTCTATGTTCCAGGCGTGACATGTGCTGCCATCTGCTGAGCGGAGATGGAAGGCTATGTGATGCACTACAGTCTACGTTCCAGGCGCGACATTGCGGTGCAGCATGCATCACAGGCGTAGCGTGTGCTGGCATCTGTTGAGCTGAATCGCAGCAATGCGGTGCGGCACAGCCTACATCACAGGCGTAACTTGTGCTTGTGCTGCCAATGCCTAGCTTGTGCTGCCAATAATAGTAAATGCCAATAATAAGCTCACATGAATATCATAAATGCTAGCGGATTCATTTCATATGTTATCAAATTCAATGTCAATAGCCAGCGTCTAACCATCAAAAGCATAGGTATTAGGTAAGCCTGGCGAACGGATCGAAAGCTGTATGTACAGCCCACCGCTAAAGTAATGTAGGGTTTTACCAATTTAAACGGTTGGCTTTGACTGGCGATTGTTTAACCCTAGAACGCCTAGGGGGGGGGTTGTATCAACCCCCCCCCTGAGGTTTTTTCGAAGTGCACGCTAAACGGCTTGTCGTAGCGGGCTGAAATTTTCAATACCCTATGGGGCAACCATTGCGCATCTTTTGCCGAAAAAAAATTGATCGGGTCATGTCAGGTCACGGAGTTATGACGTCATAAGAGGTACAGCCTCCGGCCGGATTTTCACAAACTGAGTGCCAACGCCCGAGGTTTCCTGCCGGTGGTACGGACATCGGTTGATGGATCGTGATGAAACTTCCCATGCATGTTGGGGCAAGTATTGGCTATCATATGGTATAAGAAATTTGACCAGGTCAGGTCAGGTCACGGAGCTATGACGTCACAAGAGGAACAGCGTCCGGTACTATTTTTGAAAAGCGCCCGAACCACTATTTTGCTAATTCTTGTCACCTCAATGGGAATATGCAGCAATATTAGCTTCTATAGGGAGCAAATGGACCTCCCAAATCCAAAAATATAATCAGATTTCAAAAATTTAAATTTTGATTTTTCGAATTTCTGCCGCCGACTGTGACCTTGCCGACTTCCGGCGCTCCCAACGCGCCATTTTTAGAGCTAGGGAAACGAAATACATACCAAACGACAGAGAATTGATCAAGGAACACGATAGTGAAGGTTTCAAGTCGATATCTCCCACCGTTTTGCCGCAATCGCCGCCGAAAGTTGAAAAAAAGTCTATTTTTCCGAAAATTTGACCTTTGACCGGTCAAAAGTAGGTCAAATGTTGACCTAGGACCAAAAAATATACCACCAATCGCGAGATCTCGTTGAGAGCAATCCGTTGTTTTTTTCCGCTAAGCTCTACGACCTTCCGTTTCGAAACGCCAGGGGGGGGGTCGTAACAACCCCCCCCCTGGTCGTTCGTGTTATGAG